AGTTCATAATTGATTGATTTTCTTTTAGGCCGACAGCCACACATCTCTGCAGCTTCTGTTCCAACTTCTGAATGTCCTTTTCAGAACTCACCTTACTAGGTGAGTTCTACCTAGGATAATCTTCCTTTTGAATTCGACTGATTAGGATCCTTAATGACAATCTGAGAAAAAAAAATCACTTTTCATATTCTGTTTTATAGTTGTGCATCTATTGTGCTCTCATATCTACAAATCTCCCCCATACCCAACAAGACAATATGACAAAAGGACTCTCATCATTATGGGTCATCTTGGCATTTTGCCAAGGCTAAAGTTTAAAGTCTCTGTTTTATAGTTCTAATACCTGAATATGTGAGGTGTTCCAACACCTGAATATGGTTCTGGTTATTGTTTTATTTCCTGATAATGGAGTATTTTTTTCTTTGCTTTGTGTATCTATCTTATAATCTTTTTGTGAAATACTGAACATTGTAGGTAGAAGAATTGTAGAAACTGAAGTGCGTGGCATTTACATATGAAAATGGCACCTCCCTTTATCTGCCAGTATATATATATATATATATATTTTTGGAGGGGGGCTGAGTAAATCTATTTCAGAATTCACCCAGATTTGGGTTTTGTAGTTGGTATCACCATCTTCAGTGCACTGACCTATCTAATAATATGCTCTTTTCTTCTTGCTCTGTGCTTAATGAAGACACCAAGGTGTCAGAAAGTTTTTCTTAATTTCTGCCTATCCTGATTTCAGTAATTAAGCCTACATTTGCCATGATGGAGGCCTCCTTATCCCTCCTAGCAGAAGACAGGGGTTGTTGGCTAATAAGTACAAGACTTGTAGAAGAAGCAAGCAAGATTTAGTCTCATGTTGTCCAATCTTCCCTTCTCTTATTGAAGGGGTTTGTACTTCTTCAGAATTCAGTTTGCTTGGCTGCCCTGAACAGTTCTCTGATTTGCACACAAAAAGTTATGATTTTGTAAATTATTTGGTGTTTCTCCTACTTATGAAGAAAGTGACATTTTTTTAAAAGCTTTTTATTTCCTAGGTAGAAGCAGAAGCCCAGGGCTATAAAGAGGAAATACAGTTTTATTTATTGAAATTCATGACCAGATGCTGTGATAAGTAATTTATAAACATTCATTCTCAACTTCATAACAGTATCAAATTCTCAGTATTGTTGTTCCCACTTTACATAGCTTTTTCTAAGGCCAGAACAAAGATTCATGCTTAGTTTTGTTTGCCTCTAATGCTCAAAATTACTTCTGTTCCTTACTCCTTGTTCCCTCTACAACTAAAGAACCTAGAGAAAGTAGTTTATAAAAGAAATTGTATAACAATGGTATATGTGTTGCTTTTTTATTTTTTAAAAATTGCTTTTATTTTTTAAATACATGGCAGCAGAATGATATGTGCTGTTTAAAGGTAATTAGGACATAAAGAGATGAAAAGGAGGGACCTCCAAACTGAATGTCTACCTGAGGATATAATTTCTAGAAAACTTCTTGATGGCAAAGTAGGAATTAGGCACAAAGGGTTTGTGTTTATTCGGCTCCTTTGAATATATTCCTATGTTTATTTCTCACAATATGCCTCCCTAAAATGAAAACCAGTACTCGGTTTCCCTGCCTTTTCTTTTGCTAGTTCGTAGCCTCATTAGCCGATTTCCAAAGGTTCAAATTGGTAAGAAGTGGTTCAGGGAATCCCTTTCTTGAGAAGGTGATGGAACATGTTAAGAGGGATCCTACTTCTGATGCAGTCCAAACAGAAATCCCAGCAGCAGTGTCCCTTATTCAATGTTTTTGCTGCAAATTCTGATATATGTGTCCACTAATAGTTGGGATAGATTGGTGACATAATTTGTCCCTTGTTCTTGGCGTCTTTGCCTACAGACCTGGTTCTCTGTCTTTGCCCCTGGGAAACTATCTAATATCCATTCTGTGAACTTTGAACTTTAATTAATAAATTCACTTTTTGCTTAACCAACTTAGAATGGATTCTGTTGATTATAGTTAAGAACTCTATCTGAAATAGACAACCCAATTAGAGGAAATAATTGGAAAATTTTTGAAGGGAAAGAACATGAAGCATTCTGGAAACTGGAATGGTGAATAATTTGGTGTTAGTGTTGTAGAAAGTAGTTGAGAGAAGATGTTGAAGATATGGACAGCCTTCATATAATGGACATCAAATTATCTAACTAGATGGTAGCAGAATTATATTAATGATCATAAAGTTAGCTCTTGTCCTTTGGCACGAATGATTTAAATAGCATACAGGTTGGGTTGGAGTTGTAGCTCAGTTGTGGAATACCTGCCTGGCATGTGTGAGGCCCTGTGCTCAATCCTCAGCACAATATAAAAATAAATACATAAAATTAAAAATAATTAAAAAGAAATAAATAACATATTGGCAAAGATCAATGGGGAGTCAAGGAATTGTAGGGTCAGTGGTCAAATGAAGCATCTGTACTAACCTTTAAGTTGTTCAGGATGGTAATAGAACTTAGGGTGCACTGAAAGAATAAGTCAGATTCCAAAGTCTTTGATGAATGTGCAGCAATGACAGAGAAGTCAGTAGACAAATAGGTAGTCCATATTAGTAGCAGGGTTAGACAATACACTGGCAGAGGTGTCATTTTTAAGGGTTGCCATTTCTTTTCCTTCTGGGTTTGTAATACATGGAGTGATGCTGTAAGAAAATGGGATAGTGCTCTAGGGAGAAGTTGAGGATGTTTGGAGTTTCCTTACTTTGTACCAAGGGCAATAAAAAGAATGGTGGCAACATCAGGGAAAGAGGTTAAAAGTGGGAAAATGAATGTGGAGAAGAAAAATGCAGAAGAATATTGGGAGAAAATGTGGACAAGACACAGAGGGATTATTGGGATGATTTTGATATGAGGTTGTGAACAAGAGTGGTATGGATACAGATCTATTGAGTTGAGCCTTAGGATTTTGAGCAAAACTCAAGTTAATATGTTATAGTTCCTGTGCAAGTCTGAGTCCCAATGATCCTGAAGCTACCTGCTCTAATGGTGATCTTAGAAACTTAATGATTCTGGAAGACTTTGTGCTTAGATTTAAAAATAGACTATTGATGGGAAATATGACTCTAGAGAAATTCCATGTCTTAGAAGTTTGAAGGTAACCAAAGGATTCACTGAATCTCTAGATGAAGCCATCTATGAACTAAAAATTTCCCAATCCCTTCTTTGTTAAAAAATGTTGAAAACATTCATATTTATGTCAAGAAATTAACTCCAAAAAACTGGCAGACATTTCTATACAGGCAATAATCACTAACTTTTTATCATTAACCACAACAGAGGACTTAGAATTTTCTACTTGATTCCTTCCTTCAAGACAACCATGACATCAATCTGTGCCATGTAAGAAAACTTAAACGAGGTATGCAGATCTTAGGAAGAGAAACACATCAAAATCACACACTTGGAGGTGTAAAAGCCATATGCCAAACCTTTCTGTCTCCCAAGTCCTTTTGACCGCCAGGGGCGTCTTGCTGGCTTTTTACACAGGCTTTTACTTTCTTATGGTCTCCTTTCCCTTTATGTTTCGTTTTTCCAGATTCTTTTGCCGACTTTCCTCACTCACCCCAAGGAAAATAAAATCAATATAAAGCAAACAAACAGTATTTTCTTATTTCAAAGGAAGCAATTTAATTCTTGTTATCTGAGATAATTATCCAGCTCTCAACTTTTTCTCATAATAATTTACCAAAATCTTAAATAGTTCTTTTTTGAAAAGACTACTCATATCAACTGCTTGGGAAAATGTATAATTAAGCCCCCTGTTATATTTGCAATTGGTTTTACAAATACTAAGACTCTAGCCTGCTGGACTGTGTGAAACTAAAACCACTTTGTGAACATATATGAAAAGACATACTTCCACACAGCATCTATTAATAAATTTAAGGCAGATGACTTTATCAAATTCGTCTTTTCATCAACTCTCCAGGATACCACTTTTCATTTATTTCTTACTGCTATTACCACCACATTGGGTGGTGCAAATTGGGATAAGAGGTTTTCTTACAAAATTATTTAAACATTTTTCCCCTCCGCTGATACTGACTTAATATATAAAGTTGTGTTCGTGCATGGACAAATAAATGTGACACAGTTATCATGTACTATGCCTTAGGGAAAAAGAATTAATTGATCACCCTCAGGTGGGTAAACCAGGGAACTAATAACCTGAAAATATGCAGCAACCTGAAGCAAGTGCAGCCTTGGTGAGATGGGCATTTCAATGAGTTGTGACTGAATTGAACCAAGTGGTTCTCTTTAGATCTTTCAACTGTGGTCATTGCATATGTATATCCAGCTGATAGAGCTACATAGTTGGCTTTGTCTGGTATGTTCAGCATCACTAAGTTGTGATCTTTTCTTTTTGGTAAATGAGGTTTTTTAACTTTGTAGAATCAAAAATTTTAACTTAAATGTTTTAAACTTAAACATGTTTTAAAAACACATTTCCATGTTTAAGAGCATTTGGTCAGACTGAAATTCAGAGAGGTATCCCTTTTCACCAATGTAAAACAAACAAACAAAAAACCTCCGACTTTTCAGTAAAATTATTCTATTATTCTTTACTGTAAGAAATACAACTCTCCAACTACAATATAAATCCATTCCAAGGCTTCAATGAAAGCTATCCTTAGTAATATATCTAAAAAACAAACCAAAATTCTTGTTCTGAATTAGTTTTCTTATGACAATTTCTCTTGCTAAACAAATTGTACCACATCTTTGTATGATTATATACAGAAACTTCTCATCAGATCAGAAAATTAACCAAACATATTCTTTTGGTTCCTTTAAGCCATATTTTCCAGTGACATAAGGAAATGTCATAAAATGAGCCAAACTTCAGCCTTTATTTTGACCCACTGTATACTTAGTGAACACTCCAGGGAACTTCAGTGAGGAAACAGTTGTCTTTCTGCTTTCCCTTAATTAAATTAATTCAATTCATTTCATTTTTTCGTTCAACAAATATTTATTAAGCACCTACAATATGCCAGGCACTGTGCTGGGTGCTGGGGATACAACTGTGAACAAGATAGACACAGTCCCTGCCCTCAAGGAGCTTACAGTCTAGTAGTTTACAGACAAATACACAGGCAATTACAATGCAGTATGGCAAGTGCTGTGATGGGGGAGAAACATTAAGAGTGGCACCTAACTCGTAGGCAGGGGTGGTGGGCAGTCGTGAAAGTCCTCCCAGGACAAGTACAATTCAATTTGAGTACTGAAGGATGAGTGTTAGTCCGGTAAGGAGGAGACAGGGAAGAGTTATAGACTGAGGAAATAATACACGCAGTGTTCCATGTGCTGCTTGGGAGGTTCATTTTCTGTCAGAGGAGTTAGATAGAAGTGAGAGAAGTCCTTGAAGATACACAGCAAGGGCCTGATCACAAAGGGATTCATTTGCTCAAGAACTTGGAATATTTCTTGAAGGAACAGTGCACTTGTGCATTATCAGATTTATACTTTTAAAGATTGCTCTTCCTGTGGCAGAGATTGAATGAGGGATGGTAATCTCAAGAGGTAAGGGAAGGAAATTAACCCTTCACCTTCTCCATATTATTTTGCATGATTATCACACTAGTACTCTTGCCAGCTCACCTAGGTGCATACATTCCTCAAGCAAGCCATTGACATGCATGGTGTTGGACACTGCTCATCCATAAGGCTCTCAACACCTTCTCCTCCTTTTAAAACTTGACTCATCCTTCAAGGACAGAGTTTTGAAATCATCCTAACTTGTGCTTTCTGCCAAGATCCCTAAGTATGTGATTTTTATCTGTACTAGAGTACTTATTTATTATTTCAAATGAGCCAAATCTTCCTTTGAACCTTGTTTATTTACTACATGTATAACAAATTAATTTTTATTAATGAATATAGATATAATTTTCATTATAATTTCCTGGTGAAATCAAGGACTAATTATTCATTTGTGATCCACCCCAAACTATTACTAGTGCCTTCAAAGGATTTAAATGGAACAATAGGAATGGGGGAAGAAGCCCACCAAACACATAATTTTATGCAGCAAAATACAGTCAAGTAAAATTTCAGCACAGGTACAGGGTATGGTTGCTGTAGGACAATGATTCATTCCAGACTCAAAGACTCCATCTTTAACAATTTAACCTGCTAACCAGTCAAAGATCTGCAACAAAAGGACAGTTTAGTATGCAAAAAGAATAAGGGCTAGCTACATTTTCCAATATGGCCCACCATTTGACTTCTACAATCCTTTGTGTACTCTTGTAATTTCTCAAATAATGTTTATAATGGTAAAAAAAAAAAAAAAAACCTTTTAAGCTTTGTAGATATTGTAAGAACATCTGCTGTTTTATTCTTTTTGGTGGGTACAAAAACCACAATTTTGTACACAGAACAAGATTATAAATAAGATCGATAACATGAGTGACCCGTAGTCTCTGTTGATTCTACATTGTAGACTGATGATTTAACGTCAACATTTTCTTCATTTTGTTTTTGTTCCTGGTAGTGGAGATGGATGCAATCTGTGAACCGGCTCATGTGACAGAGTGAAGGTTACAGCAAACAAGAAGATGACCAACAACTTTTATAGAAAAAAGTCTCTAAAGTTTATTACAGTGATGGCATTTATATCAATTATTGCAATGTATTGTTCCCTAAGATGGTTAGAAAAAAGAATCGTGTTGTCCTCTACTGAATTTACGTCAGTTAAAAAGCAAGCATGTTTCAGTATTTTTTTTTTCTCCAAAGTAAGTGTAAATACTTCCTTTAATTTTTTTTCACAGGATTTACATGTTTGTTTATTATTTTCTTATCACAGTTTAGTGATTTGTTTCCTCAGCTGGATATTCTTCCATTGACTATATGGGTGTTCTGGAGACGCAGGTTAGCATGTTCATTGACTTCTATTATCTATTTTATCCCTTTCGGTGACGACAAAGGCCTTTCTGAGCAAGAACTTCAGTGTAATGCGCTAACAGGCAAGTCTGATTAGTTTTTAAGTCCACTCAGTGAAATTTGTTGTTGTTAATACACCCGTCCCGGCTCCCCCCCCCCACCCACTCCCCGAAAAAACCTAAATTGTGAGTTTTCCTGATATAAAATCTGAGTTTGGGTTTCCGAGCTGAGCTCATGCACACGTTGCTGCTGCGGCTGAGGTCCCCGCGCTTTAGGACGTACTTCCCGCTCTCAGCCAAAAGATTGGTTTAGCAAAGACCCGCGCTTGCGGTGTCCCTCAGGGCTGTGTTTCCATCAGTCACCAACACAGTTTAATTAAGGCACTCAATTATTTTTTTGGTTTTTATGGTAGGTCCGATGCAATGACAGCCAATCCTGAACTTTGTCTAATTGCAGTTCCCGTGTGTACAGCCTTTGGGCAGTCGGGTGTCAAGACGCGGCCGTTTTCTCCCACGCTCCCAGTGATGGATAACCTGGCTTTGTTTCTTATGGCTTCAGAAAAGGTCAGCTGGGTTGCATGGAAAGGAAACAGAGAATGTGGTGTGTTATGATATTACTGTTTGTTCAACAAAATATGACACAACAAACACCGAAATATCAATAATTAGACATCTGCATTTTTTTTCCATATTTTTTGGTCATATGCAAACTGTTTATGAGGGAAAGAAAAGCTGAACTACCCCAAAGAAGCCAAGCTTCAACTACCCTGAAGTTTTTCTCTGCAGTCTAGAGCTTGTGGTCCTACCTATTTAAAAAAACTAATTCTAAAACCAAAAAATTAGGTTCCATTTAGCAAATTTTGGGCAGGAAACATCTTTGAACTTGCTCTGCTCCATACCCTAGAACTTCTAGTGAAACTCAGAAGTTCTTTTAGGTTTTACAGTATTCTTTAAATCATATTATTGTTTTGTTAGACTGTCTTCTTCATGGTGCATGGATTAGACTCTTCAAATTATAATAAATTGCCTAAAATACTATATGTATAAATACTGATGACAGATATTCCTGTTTCTATAACACAAACCTATGCACAGACACTTTCATTCATTCACACCCATTATAGACATGACTCAGAACAGCACAGTTACTGACAGCTGGTTCATTCTATGCCTATTATGGAGGCAAGGGTCATATTTCAAAACTAAGCTTCAAGAGGGGACAGCAAAAAGAGGCCTGTCTCAAGACCTGCTAAATGGCCATCAATAGGAAACTTCCCAGATTAAGGCTAAGGGGTCAGGTCTCTCAACTCCTCATTCCATTCCTATTCCCAATTTATTAGGTAGCAGATAACAGTACTCAGAGGAGAAGCAGACATTGGTATGTAAATCTAATTACTATCCATTCACAACCTCTGAATTCTTTCTAGTAACTGACTTATAATGTTAACTCAAGATGTTCCTCAAGTTTTTTAATGACTTAGATCATAATTCTCTCACAATTCATAATGTAGTAAATTTCCTGTTGTGAATTTAAGTTTATCTAATTTTTTATGAAATTCTATCCCTGTATTTATTCTGCTCTGGATTCTAATATCAGAATAATTATACATTAAAACAAGTAAGTTAATAAGTAGGTTAAAAACTGTTTGAGTAAACAATGTTTGAAAGTAATTTGTCCTGATAACTTCAAAAAGTTGAAATCAAATTGTTGGTAATGATATATTTATGATAAAATCCAAGGTAAATTTCATAGTTCCGTTTTAGTGAACAGTTTAAAAAATTAATACTTATTTTCATAATCAGGACTTGGCATACATCCTTTACAGAAACATTAATATTTTTTATATTTAGAAATTATGGAAATACAATGAAGATTTTAGGGGAAAACAGCAATATTCCCCTTGCCTTAGCCTGAGTTCCTGGGATTGCATATTGATTTAAATTGAACAGAAGGTGAATTTTAGTATGCAAATGAGGAAATTAGAAATGAAATTATTCCATCCAATTAATATACTGATTGGATTCCTTAATCAAGGACCTCACTCATATGGCAGACTCTTACCTGAGGACTAGAGAATCTCGCCAGATAACAAACATGTCTGTAATAATCTTGTTCTTTGGAGTAAGACTCTTGGGGGGTTGTTATTAGAGATGAATATTTTCCTACTCAATATTAGAGTGAATATGCTTTGGGATATTTGTAAAAAAAAAAGTATTATCAAAATAGTACCATTGTATCAGGAAAATATAACAATGGAATCTTACATTTACAAAACAGGCAGGGATTGCTATCATGATTTCTGGATAACTTTCCCATGTTATACTGTTTTTCACTGTTGTGTTAGATGGATAGTTTGGGGGTCAGAGCTATGGGTTCCTGGATGTTTGGAATACTCCAGTGCTTTTTCTATGAGCTTCTAGAAAAAAATAATTTGGGGGGGCAGTTTTGACAGCTTAGGTTAAGTAAAGAAAAACTAGAAAAATGTATATCTATGAGTTTAATCCAAGCCAATATATTAGCCCATCTTCAACATTAGGAAGCTTTGGAATCCTAAGACCACTCAGGCTTGTTTATAGAGGACTCAGTAAGTGGTTCCAGATAATTCAAGTTTTCTACAGATACTACACTTAAATAAAACTGAGGCCAAAGTCTCAATATGTTTCTCTAGATTCCATTTCAATAAAATAGATAATTATTAAAAAGTTTAGATTTGTTTTAATTTTTATGAAACACTAGAATATGATTAATAAAAACAGTATAATGTTTTTAAAGCATTTACAGAGGCTTTTGCCATGAATCTGTTTTTGTTTTCTTTCTTTTCTTGATCAGGTTTGTGAGGAAAAGAAAACCTTCAAAGCTCTGAAAATTTCATATACTCTCAAATAACCTCTCCTCTTTTATATTAATGCAAATGAGTGTATTATTTAATGAATTTTTAACAACTTTCTGTTATATTTTTAAATATGCTCTGCCATTTTTACATTCTATACTTACATCACCCACTTCTTCCATAAAATGTCTTTTCTATTCCTTTTGGTTGACCCTACGGAGCCCCCTCAGACTGGAAGATGTCCTACAAGTTTATCTATGGTGTGGATTCGGTTACATTATCATGGCTGTCACCGTTATTGTGCATGTTCCCCTTAAGGGATGGTGACTTTTAAGTAGATTTTCCAATATTTCTAGAAATTTGCAAGGTTTTTTGTTTTTATTTTGGTTTTTATTCTGTGACAATATTATCTAACTTATAAATCATTTATATAATTAAGTCAATAGAGTTTTTGAAAGGAAAAAGTCTTTTAATTTTATAGTAAAGTAAAAACTGCTTATGCTCAAGGCTTCTCAACAGGTGCAGATCATTTCATTCACCCTGAATGCCAGTGTCTTTTAAAATTTCAGATCTGAATGCCTTCCTTTTATTTAAAATGTATTGACTTAAAAGTTAAAATTTAGCTTTAAAGGTAATTCATATGATGAACTTCAATGCCAGGTTCTGACTCCAAAAATATTATTTAGTGCAAATCATATATGTATAACCTGGGAATTCATATCACTTTTTAGCAATTTCCCAGAACTTTGTAATAAACTGTTATCCTTGAGTATTTCTTTCTAAAGGTTTTAAATATTCTCTTTCTTTTTCTTTGCTTTCCAACCCTTGGACCTTGCTAATGGCTGGCATGCCAAAGAAACATCAGTTTTAATGAACTAATAACAACAAATTTTAGGCGTCTTGTAAAATTCATCTCAGAATGCAGTCCAAGTAATTGGCTCCACAAACTTATCAGATATTGCTTTCTTAGTTTTGGAGAGTTTCTCCTTAACTCTGTAAAGGTTAAGATGACAGCATTCTCCAGATGGACAAGGTACCTTGACACCATCTCTGTTTGCTCTTTTGCTATTTAGAAGACATGGTCAGCATGTCTTAATCTGAGGGAATTGAGGTTTAGTTCTTAATTCTTTTACACAAAACTTGAAAGAACCACCTTGGAATTATCTGTGTGCAGTTGTTCTCAGCCATTAATTTCTAGATTGTGGATAAAAGCAATTAGATCTTGGTAAACAGGGATGACTTTGTTCTTTAACATGCCAACAAGTACTTGAATAATTTCTATATGAATAAATATCAAAATCAGGCACATTTATTTGGTATAACCTCAGATGTATGTCTTATTACAATTTATTTTGATTTTGAGTTTAGAGTACATCAAGTACTGAATGTCTCTTGAAGGTTCAAAGACTTATTTATCATGTAATCAGAATGAGAAGCCTATTCACTAGACTATTATATGTCATTTTAGAAAATAGTTTTTAAAGTTCTGGTTTTAGGAAGAACAATAAAAAATCCATTCAGGTCTTACTTTAAAATCACTTCCTATCATTAGAGGAAAGAAGAAGTGGACATTTAGATTCTTATAAAAAAAAATCTCTATCTCCTGTGTTTTACTGAATGTGTACAATTTTTTATTGTGACAGGATGAGAGAATGTGAATAAGTAAGGCTGACCTGGCTTGTATAAAAGCAATTGAAATAAAAAAAGTATGTAGTAACTCACTGCAATTTTTTATCATTTACTGTATCACTCCTATAGAACACATATATTGCTGACATCTTTGATGGAAAAACTGCTCAATTGTCTAAAATGCCTGTTTATTTTAGTGCAACTGTGTATTGTAGTCAGAATTCTGACAAATACTCCTCCCTAAAGGGTTGACTCAAGGACTTCTGTCATATGAACAAAACCAAGGATTTATGCTTTGAAAATATAGAAAGACCACTAATGGTCAACAAATTAGAATAGGAGCTGAAATTCCTTGAGAACATACTATGTGCCTTGGAGTTTTTACATGTATTGTTTCTCAGAAAACAATATGACCTTATCAAAATAAGTAACTGCCTGGGTTTCCATCATTCAAAACAGATTTTGTTTTCATTTTTTCAGCACTTATCCTAAACATGGGCTATTACAGAGAAGATTTGCCTGGTCTGTGTGCATGGAGGCCCAGATCTAATTTCCAATTTTCCCCAAATTTCAGGAAAATAATACTGTTTAAATCATTTTGCAGAGCAATTCTGGTGCTTTTTTTGTCTTTCTGAACCTTGCAATGCAGATATCTATTGACAACACAAAATTTCAAACAGTACATCTGCAGCCAAAGAAAACCGAACCACTTTGCACTGAAGTTTTCAAAAATATAAAGCTCTAATTAGAAGCAAGCAATACCACCACTGGACAGACAGGTCACAACACTGCGTTCACAGGATGCATCCCCCACTCACTGGAGTAGGCCCTAAGTCCTACCCCTAAATTTTAATACTTTCGGTTCCATATACGTTGTAACCTTCTCTATAGGTTGCTAAATTCTGGGTATTCTGCGAGGAAGTTGGGTTAAAAGTCTGTGCACTCTTTGCCACCTTCATTCTCTTCGCTTCTGCCCTGGACTTGTAACAGAACTCTATCAAAGCCACCAGCATTGCCAAGCCCAAGCCGCCAACCAGAATGTAGAAGACGCCTGCTACGTTGCTCAGGCTCAAGGCACTCGTCTTGTCCTGGGGGGATAAAGACACTTTAGTTAACTGTGGAAATGTCACATTCAAAAGATAAAAGAAATACATGAAATCCAAATAGCCAATTAAAGTAAATGCTTAATTTAAACTGAAATTATCTATAAGTCACTGATGCAGGTTTATAAATTTAACTATAAAGCTTATAACTTTCAGGAGAAGTGAAATTATGATAATTATCAATATATTGAATATAATTGCATTCATTAAAATCTGTATCATTTTACCATTATGAAATATGCAATGAAAACCACTATACTTAGCCATATATAAGCATTTATATATTTACACATAGGGTGCCAGAAGTGGGTTTATTATAGAGTTTGAAAATGACATATTTAAAATCCAATTATGTAAGAAAGGGGACTTCTTTTTGGCTTTGCTTCCTTTAAAACTCAGTTTTAATGTTTGAAATTCCTCTTGAATAAATCTAACTCCATAAATCTCCTACTGAAGGAACAAGGATCTTCTAAGCTGATAGTTTCACATTTTGTTTATCATTACTTTACAAACTATATAAAAACAATATACTATGGTACATATAATTTATTTCTTTCTGTTATGTCTATATGGGAAATCTCATGAAAAATATCACTTTTGCATATTGAATACTATTTAGGAATAATTATATAGGCATAATACTTGGGTAGTCTTTTTAAGATAATTTTTAAAAATACATAAATTATCATGGTCAATTGAGAAATAAGTTATTTATATATGGACAAATTTATAATTATTTTTAATGCTTTAAAAATACAATTCCATTCCCACTTAAATATATTAGAGATTGATTAATATTTTAGACATTATTCTTCAGTTTTACTATATTACTGTCTCATAATTAATAGTCAAACATATGATTAGAAAATATTAAATTTTAAGAAAAATTCAGAATTTCCTTAATAAATTAAAATAGTTTTATTATATAACATTATTTCCAAAAGTATTTTTTAGACAACCTGGAAGATGCTTTGTGGTCATCATTTTCTCAGCAGTATGTTTTGTTCAAAATGTGAATCAGAACCTTAAATAGTTTTATTAGGAAAGTGTTCATTTCAAAAGATGTATTATATATGTTGTTTACTTAGTCATGATATCAACTAACTAGGCCAAAAATTTAGGGTAATTTCAGTTTTAAAATAATCTTTCATTAATTGTTTGTGTCTCTCAAACTTTACATCAGAATTTGAGATTGGTTCCTTTTCTGGCCAATCTTCTGGTTCAAATGCAGATGAAAGTGGTTGATATGGAGATCAGATCTGCAGAAGAATCAATTAACCTGACTTTCTTTCCTTCTTAAATTAACTGAGGTTCTCCAATTTAAGCCAGCTACTTGTTTAATGTCTTAGAATGACGAATAATTCATTTATTTTCTAGGAGAAGATACAGAAAAAAATAAAAGGGGATTCAAAGAACCTTCAACTATGACTTTCAGGCACTGTTAACTATTTTCTATTAACATGTTTAAGTACCTTATTCAAAGATATACATTATATATTGTTTTCTTCAGAATAAAAATATAACTGTACTTCACAGAATTTGGTCTATAGGTTTCTGCATTGTTCTGAAAAGAATTCATAAATTAAAGGTCTTAGAACTTGAGGATATTATTTGTAAACATTGATTACTAAAATAACTTTGGAGAATAGAATTGGAAAGTTCATTCTGTTTATCTGTTAGCACAGAAGTATCAAAGGGCCTCTTCAAATCAAAGTGGAGTGTGTGGCAATATGATAACAAAAGATTGAACTTTGGAATAAACATTTATTTAATATTTAGCATCTTTTTTTCTGGATGACTATGGATTAATTTCCCATTTTGAGAATGTATCAGTTCTTGAAATAATTGATTTCATAATCTTTAGCTCCATAAGGAAAACCTAAACCAAAAAAAAGCCACTACTTTTATTAGTGGTACGTAGTTTGAGAATAACAAGGAATTTTGTTATTTTATATATATTTGCAGTTAATTTAAATTATTTAAAAGCCTTAATATTGGGGAGCACGTTGTGATTCCCTGGAAAGTTAATCCCTGTGGTTGGAATTCATGATATTAGCTTCTGATTTAGGCTGTGGTTCAGTGCATAGAGAAATGTTCAGTTTTTAAGGTTTCCATATGATTTTGACAATTGCTCCCGTTTATTGTTTTGTGAACACAAGAGGAGGCCCGAACTGCAGCGACTGACCTTGCTTCCCGAGTCCTTGGGTCCACATTCACCTTTATCGTACCACCATTTGTTTTTCAGCTTGTCTAAGACGCCTGCCTCACTGAGTTTCAAAACGGCAAGGTTTACAGGAGTTCTTCACGTGGAAAATAACATAAATAACATTATATATGTTATTTTATGTTATTCAAGTAAAACTACATTAGAATCGCATGGTAAAGTGACAGAGCAAAGGCCACAGTAGGTGTTATGTCTTGTACTGTAGGCCCAGGTTTAGGATCAGACATAAAACTGGGGCCTGCTCCATCGCTTTAGGTAACAGGCACATACTGCTAGGGAGGATCTTTAAATAAAATGTATGCAATTACTGTGAATCCAAAACTATTGGCCTGGGTTGGGTTCCTTGAGCATTTATAATTTCCCCACATAAATGTGAGTCTCAATATCCAGAAGCTTTCTTCTTTCCTCTTTAAGACTTAATGAAAGTGGCTGCAAGTTGACAGACAGACATAAGCAGAAGGTAGACAGGACTGCTTTCACTTCTGACATGCATTATGATTCAGCTACTAGGACTTTGCTTTCTGCTCTAAAAGTATGTCCACAGTATCCATCAATAGATTGACTCCTTACCCACCGTATTCTAAGACCTCATTGAAAGAAGAGAGTGACTCTAGTGTCACAGACTAAGAGCATCTCATAACTCATGCAAAGATCCTCATAAGTCTAATATGTAAATTATTATTTAAAAATCATAGCCCATGCTGATATTTTGCTTCTGAATTGCAGTATTTACCCTAAATAATATCACCAGAGCCATTTTCATCTATCTTATCTTGAGTTTACTATGTTAATATACTCAAAGTACAGGTGAAGTGATTTTAAGTTAGTAATGATAGGTTAGGGGTTACTAAAATTTTTCTGACTAGAAAATGATTCTTACTATAAAGTCATTTGAAAAATGTTCTTCTGTCTTTGATTCTTTCAATACTAATAGTGTATAATGAGTCTGAGTGAGATGTCAGCTATCATCTAGTATCAATATCTTGAGTAATATAAAATTATCCCAGCCTTTCATTTTCTATACAACAATATGAAAGTCAAGAAGATGAATAGGAAGCACTATCTGCTAGGATCATTTGTTGTTACTATCTTTATGGTTGGTTGGTTTTGGTTTCTTTCTGCTGGAGGTTGGCTACATTCCTATGGACATTTTTCAGGCTGCCACAGTCATTTTGTCTGGCGTATGATTCAGAGCCTTACATCTGATTGAGTGCATTTGGTGAAACACAGCATGCATTTATTTGGCTACCAGAAGATTAATTCCATAAACCCAGCTACATAACTAGGTGATGTATTAATAATGACAGTGATAATGATTAATGCTTATTGTACACTGACTGTGTACCAGACAGTTTAAAAAACATTTTACCTCTTTAATACTGTCATTCAGATTTTGCAAATGAGAAAAACAATGAGAGCTTAACTCAACTATTTACATGGCTAGGTGATAGCTGAATCAGGATTTGTCATAATCTGACTTCATAGCATATGCAATTAAAAATATAACTGAAGAATCAGAAAATGGGTTTTCTGGGTGTAATTAAATTTTTTTCTAAAAGTTAAACTAAAATCTATTACTTTCCATAATTTAGTTTTGAAAAATGTTTCCAAAATACCACTTTTTCATTTTGTTTGTATGGTTTTTGAATACAACTTAAATTTTGTATCAGTGTTGTAAGATCTTACTATGGCTTATATTCACTAATCCATTGAAGAAGTAATATGCATTTGCCAGGATCCCAGAATATTAGGTTGTTTTTTTGGGCTGAAATCTGACATAAGCATGGTTTAACACTCTAAATGCTGTTTGGAGATGGGGTAGTTAATTGAAGTGCTTAAGATGAACCAGAGGAATCTAGGTTTTACTAACTATACCGTGCCTCTTCCATACATACTTCAGTTCTACCTCCATTTATGAAATGATTGTTAAAAAGTCAACAAATGGGCTGATGGTGAACTGTGAAGGAATGAATTAAAAAACCCTTACACCTCTAAAATTATACCTTTTCACTTATCCTTTTTGAAAGATGTAGGGCCCTTTCTTCATACCTTTTGTTAAATTTTTATGGCCAAAGATTCCTTCACTCAGAATTTCCTAATACTGGGAATGGCTACCAGGTGAGTAAGGATGCTGATTATCTCACATTGTGGAGTGTGAAATGGAAGCTGAATAGTTCAGTTGTTGGTCATATAAGTAATAAATCCCTTGAAGGAAAGTACAGTGGTTAATTCTCTTTTTCTCCACAGGTTCTACCACACCCCCCAATCAAAGCAGAAGTTACATAATTTGGTGTTGAATGGAAGGTTGGAGATGTGTTCCATTCCCTCAACTCCATCCATTACAATCCTATGAATGACAGGGGATCAATTTTCTTTGTAGAGGAACCTTTCCATGTGTGGCACTTGTTTCTGTGTTTTCTCCATTCACGAGATGAAACACTTAGGAAAATTAGTGTTTTCCTACCAAGATTCTATATTTCAAAATCAGATCAGCCAGGACTTTAGCCGTCTTGTGCTAAGATCTCTTGGTATGCTCCCTCTACACTCAGTTGGCAGCAATTGTCTCTCCTGCTTCAGCTTCCCAATCAACAAAAACTTTAGAGCCAGCTGCATTCCTGGATTCTGTACTTTTCCTTCATATTTTACCTCTTTTGAGGGAGATCAGGTCAAAGGGAGGGGTGAAGTAAGTTTAAAAAGAAGATCAGTCACCCGAAGAAGTCCAAAATGAAAATGAAAAAACAACAAATGATGTCTGATAATTTAGTTTGATCTAAGGTAGGTCAGGCCATTTAAAATAGCACCTTTCATTACAAATTCAAAGTAGGGCATTATTACCATTTAGATTGCAACAACCTATTCTGTTGGTGATAAACTTTAGGTCAATGTACAACCTACTAGGTTTTTTTGTTTGTTTTTTATGCAAACAAAATTCTTGAGGGAAAATAGAACATACTATAAATTTCATTTTAGGTGAACATTTTATGTTAATTTTTATAACATTTTGGAAAGCTACTTGTTAAGATTTGAAATAACTTTTTAAAATAAACTTTTCTGGTTCATATTTGTGAAAGCAATGACTACGCACCTGAAAGAAGAAGCAATTTAATTTTGGAAATGATAAGATTAGATTCACATTTATTCTTTTGGACAACAAATATTTACTGAGTGTCTAGTATATAACAAACAATGTGTTCAACAAACAATGTGTTGAAATTGATTAGATCTAAGTTGTTTAATCATTCATTTAAATCAATTACAATGATTTTTATTACATAATTTTGTTCCCTAATATATGTACATTTCTGCTATATTTTTCTGTTTTTCTCTGGAAGGTCTTAAGTATCCACTAAAATGGAACTTCAGTATATTTTTAGAAAATTTTATCTGTTATAGCTTTGTTATACTTCTTATGTTTGTGATAAAAATAAAGTAAAATTTGCAAACAAAAATTTTCTAGTTGGAATAATATATATGTTTTTATTCTTTCTGGTGTTACTATAGGACTTTTTGATCTTTCTAGTTTACATAGAGGAATGCTAGAATATTAGTATAAACTTGAATAATTTTGTCTGTATATATATATATACATATTTATATGCTTATAGAAACTATCAGAAAAATTCTAGGTAATTTGGGGCTCCAAAATTAATTAATACTCCTTAAAATGATATTATCATGCAAATGTGATTCTTCTCCCTCAAGGCTCAGATTGAGGCTTAAACTCTCAATGTAACAGTAGTGTGGTGAGAATCTTTAAGAAGCCTTTGGTGATGAGAGAGCTCTGTCCTCACAAATGGATTAATGCTTTTTTTTGAGACAGGGTGTTTCCTCAAGATTAGATTAGGTTTCATGAGACTGGGCCTCTGGGTCTCTTGCTTCCTCTCTTACACAAGACCTCTTTCTCTCTTTCCCGCTCTTCACTATGAGATGCCATATGGAATTTTAAGGTGTGTCCAGGTATCCTAATCCACTCTGCTTCGACTTTCTATCCACCATAATGATGAGCCAAATAAATGTCTTTTCTTTACATATTACCCAGAGTTGGGTATTTTGTTGGAGCATTTCAGAATGGATTAAGACAGATGGTGCCTAGGATACAGGCAAACTTTTTACTTCCTCTTTCTGAAGTAGATAGACTCCTAATAACAATTTGAAAGGCTTTTGAGAATGGGTTTAGGAAGGATTAATTGCAGCCACCCCGAGAAAGATACTCCCTGAAAACAGTATTGTTGTGTGAATTAGATGGCCAAGTGAGATAACATATAATCCAATGAAGTTGCAGATAAGCAGATTTGGACAAATTTCTAGATTAAAAAAATATCTATACTCTTAAATAGATACTTTAAAATTTTCATTATTTTTACTTATCAGTTGGAGGTAGTTATTCAGTCAGAATTTTTCCATCTGTGGATTGGTTTCTTTAAGTCTATAAAGAGGAATGCTAGACTATTAGTATATAGGGGACACTATGTAGTATGTTCTGCTAATTGTATTTTTATTGCCACATTATTTTATGAAGATGAAAATATGACATGGATGAAGTAATGATAGATTTGTTCTTATTTTTCTGGCCTGATAATTTTGTAATTGATCCATTAATGGAAGGCAAAAAAAAATGTGTACTTTACATAACTATCTTTGAGTTCTTATTTTTTCTTCAATAGAAGCCTGAGGGTTTTATATGGAAAAAAAAAAAAAACTTTCTGGTAGGATTTCTTAGTTCAAGGTGGAGCCATATCATTGCTGTTATTTACAAATAATTGGTAAAATTTCTGGCCAAGTAATGGTAAAGAAAATAAAACAGATTTACCTTCTCTGTTCTTTGTCATCTCTTCACTAAATTGCTCTGCTCTTATAGAAATTTGCATCTCTTCCTGTTTTTCGAAAACATGGCTCTGAGGACTATCAAAAAAAATGTCTGATCCACAGCCTTTTCTAACTACAGTTTTTCAGTGAGTATTTTCATCAGATTTTTTAATGTGTCAACAAATTGATAATAGTTGCAAATATTTTTGCTTTGACAGTAATTGCATACTTAGTTTGTGAAGGGATTTGACAAGCAATTCAACTGGTATTAGTAGGTCCAAACCATATGTCTCCCAGCAGATGCACCTATTACTTTACATACTGTTTACCCGCTTTTGGTGACATTGAGGCTAACCTTGGAGTCACCTCCCCCGCTGCCACATTCTCCTTTGTCGTACCACCATTTGTTTTTCAATTTGTCCAAGAGGCCTTGTTCATTCAGTTTTAAAACTGCGAGGTTAACAGCATTTCTTGAAACGATAAAACATATTTTGTAAGAAACTGCACAGCTGTTAAGATGTTAGAAGGAATGAGGACTTAAGCTCTTTTATAAGCTTCTCCCAGACGCTAAATAAACCTCTCATTTTGCCATCCTGCAGTCCCTTCCACCAGAGTCCAAACCAAAGGCAATTGTAACCAATTTCAAATGTATTAAACATGCAGTATTTGGTGCTGTTCATTTTCATGGTTTTTTATTGTCAAATAACTGATCTCATCAAACAAATATATGATTTTTTTTTTTTGCACAACAGTAATAAACTTGTATTTACTCTTAATTGAGAAAAAATTGTGTCTCTAATTCCTTTACCTCTAAGAATGTCAATGACCCAAGAGAGACTGGAATGAAAATTCATTCTCAGAAGGTAAAACAAAATGGCATAAACAAACCAACAAAGCAGTCATTAATTTTGTATACTGATTTTCTGACAGCAAAGATTATGGCTTAATTACTATTCCCTTTATTTATGTGGGTTTAGTTTGCTTGATTTAATTGGTCTCAGAATCCAGGTTAGCTCGGTTTCATGGGCTGAAAAGGACAGGCTAGTCAAGAGACAGTAGTAGCAGCTCTTAGGGATAAGTTCTTACATATAAAGTTCTTGTTGCTTCTTGAAGGCATTAGATTCTATTTAGAAATTAGGATCACATATCCAATTTGACTGTTTAAATTAAGCAATTAAACCCAGGAAGCAATGCTGCATGTGATATGGACTTTATAAACAAACACTTTAGATTAGATTTTCTCTATGTTTATGGGGGAATAGGGACAGCAAATTCAAATTATTCTAAGAGGATTGAAAAAAAAATGTTATGGGCTTTTGTTTCCCATGCATTTGGTTTCTTTCCTGCTTTCAAGTTACAGTTTTTAATGAACCATTAACTTTTCCAAGAGGTTTCTCCAGAATTTAATGAAATTTCTGTTTTATCTAAGGAGTGGTTTATACACGGAGGAATTCTGGCTACAGTCTGTGCTATTTGAGAAACACTGAATTTGGTGATTACCTAATGCCAAATGAATTACAGAGCAGATGAAACAACTACAACTGTATTGATGAATAGCATGATTTGCAAGTAAAATGTCATTTAGCTGACTAATAAAGTGTTGGCTATTTTACTACTAAATAGCCTGTTAAAGTGTAAAATGTTTTCATGGTATTTCAGGTGAATAATGTACTTTTCCACTGTTGTGATGTGTTAATCCACTTGAAGAGTGGACATTTCCCATGAGCAAACCATACGCTTTAGGAGCATTAACTCTCTTTAAGACTGCCATTTACTACATAGATAATTAAATGATTAGGTGTTCCCACATTCCCAAGTGTCACGTTAGTGGCATAAAATAATTAATATATTTCAAAATGAACAATATCAGGTGATCAGTTTAATCACCAAAAGGACCAAATTAAAATGTAAAAATAAATAAATACTCAGTGAAGCTAGAAACATCTATTTTTTTTTTTAATTATGTTGGGAATTTTGTATTTATAAGAAACTACATTTGTCTTTCAATGAATTGAAACTACTAAAGTTTTCCTATTTTGGAGAAAATGACTCTTATAATTCACTTTATTTTAGCTTTAAATATTCATTTTAGGTTTTTTTTTTTTTTTTTAGTGAAGCAGTATCCAAATTATTTTATATGTTGGTTTAGACCATTCCTTTGATAAAATTAAAACCATTTCATGAGAGGGTTATTTAACAGGGTTATTAGCCATATCCAAAGACAGTTTCACAGCACAATAAAAAACAAAAAAGCAAAATAAAGGAATGGATAAGGAAAAAAAGCTTTATGTTGGTAAAATTGTTTGGAATCAAGCTATCTACAAAAATTATTCTAAAACATTGTCTTTCTAATACCATATAATAGGCCATGTAAAAACAGATTAGTTTCACACTGCTATCCATATGTGTGTACATATCTATATTTGATTTTACATTTGATTAATAAATAAGTCATTGCCCCGTTCACAAGTAATTCACATTTTCCTTCCAGAAATATGTGCTCCCTCAGTAAAGTCCACTTAATATCATCATATATAAAATTTTCTTTTCTTTGATGATATATAGTGGAAGGCACTTATAATTAATATCTTCAGCATTTCAAAATTTCTTGATAGAGCCTGTTATTTTCTGTAATTGTCAAATTAATATGTCATTTCCTTACATAATAAATTTAGGTCTAAAGGCCTCCTTGGATTGCTATTTATACTGCAACATAAACCACATATATCAGGACCATTTGGACATCTGTTCTATTTTATGGAATGACTAGTCTTTTCATATTGTTAATAAGAATCATTAAATGGTTAAAAAAAAGTATAAAGTTGTTTCTGTCACTTTACTACACTAGGTTAAAAAGTATTTTTTTATTCAGCAAAAGTGAAAAGGGAATCCTGAAAGAATTGTAGTAAACAAGGTCAGGGCACCCTAAGCAGTCAGGTAAACGAGGGACACAGGAAGAGATCCTTACTGAAGCACATTTAACTACTGCTTTGGAATCTCCTTGATACATCTGAGAACTTGATTTCAAAATCAATGTCAGAAACTCATATCGATTATAAGGGATATTTGTACTTTAGTTAATTATTAAAGAAGGTGTAATAGTGGTCTGCTAAGCAAAATAGAGAAGAAAAATATTGTGGGTTATTTCTTACATTAATTATACCTTTTATTGTATTAAATACAACTTTTACAGAATAAAGTCAATTAAAATGATTTTTTTCCCCATTTAAAAATGGGAGGGAAGGAAGAAATAGTAGCTGAACACATTCTTGCTGGATATATAAACCACACTGGAAAACCCTGGTGTGTTGACAATGGCCTTTTACAGAGTGCAATAGAACCCAGGAAATTTTCTTATTTGCCTTTGCCTTTTATGCATCATGTGAAGTCTACGTAAGAAAAAGTCTCCAATTAGTTTTTTTTCCTAGTGGTGAAATGATACGGAATTTGACTATGGGATGAAAATGCTCACTTGATCAAATTCCAGGACCTCTGGAAAACCTCCAAAGGTTTTATTCCTGGAATTCCCTTCAATTGAGCTTGAGATTATAAAATTTTACCTTACTGCCTGATTTGGGACTTAATTTTGTTAAGGATGTAGTTGAAATGTTACCTAAAACAAAACTTTTAAAGCAGGAAACTAACAGATTTACTTTCTTCATTTATTAATTTTGGGTAAATTTAAAAAATTAAAAGTAAGACTTTTCTTATAAAAAGCATGCTTAACAACAGGCTAACACATTTGCCACTCCCTTGACTCTTCCATAATGACTTATCACCAAATTCTGTAGAGTCGAATATGCTCGGGATTACTTTATGCCTTATGCGTTATATTTACTTCTAAACTATGTGTCTTATAGTGTAATTTCCCGTTGGTGAGGTATTAAAGTGTACATTTGCTAAAACATGTATATAAATTAATGGGACAAATTTATAAAGCTTAAGTTTAGTAAAGTGTTTTTATGATTTCCTGTATTATTGTAAAGAACTGATGATATAAACACTTAGAATTAGTTTCCGACCGATCACAGGATATTCAGGGCATGTGTAGTTTGTAGAATAAATAATTTGCAATAACAGGTTTAGCCTGGCTAAAACAAATTCAATTCTTTTTCACTTACTTGGACAAACACTTTAATGTTGGATGGCCATAGTATGTGGCCCCACTACAATTTATTTCTCTAACCATTGTGTGGTGTTAGTGCTCTATTATCCTGTTAAAAAAGGATTCCTTAGTTTTATACATATGAAAACATCTCACTGATTTTAAGATGGCTGTTTTCACTGACATGCTATCTTTGTACTATGTTCTTTATAAAATTTAAATACCAGGTGTTATGATGTCTAAAATATTTATCAAAACAAGACTGAGATTTTTTTCATAGTTTCCATCCAGCACATCCTAATGTAGTTTAAAACAACTTAAAAATGATGTGAATTAACAAGAAATTGTGTAATGAAATAAGGAAATTCCTTTTGAATCATCAAAGGGCTTTGATAGATAATTTATGCAGGAAGAAATAACAAATCATATACAAGTAATTCAATCTTAGTTGGAATTAGTGAGTTAAAGTACTATAAATTCATTTTTCTTCATTCATATTAGAAAAATAAAAGTAAACATGATGTTCAATATTGTCAAGAATTTAATATTGTGGGCAATCTCATAGATTGATGACAGTGTTAAAAACCAGAAAAAAAAATTTGCCTTGATAAAACAGAAGCTTTAACCCAATCCTTATCCTTGATCCAATAATTCCTCTTTTAGCAATCAATCCTAAGAAATTAGTCAAAGATGTTGGCAAAGTAACTTGTAATAAATCTAATGGTATATTTCTTTTTGTTTCAAAACATAGAAGACAATGTGCATGTCCCAAAGAAAGGGAGAATTAAATAATTTTCTGTTCAGACCACTATCTAGAAGCTTGATTTAAGCCTCAAAACTTACAAACACAGATGCTCAGACCTAAGCCTATTCTATCAGATTCTTCTGGATTACATGTAAATGTATGTAGGTTTTTATAAAGCTTTTGAGGTAGTAGTGACAAGTACCATTTATTCCTATGACATATTTCATAACTATTAAAATTTAATGACTAGGGAAAATACTGACAGTATGATGTTAAGTGCAAAAAAAAAAGAAATTTGTATATTCTTTGTGATATTAGTCTGACAATAAGCTATACATATATTTAATACTAATAAAAATATTGGCTAAAGATACAACAAATTTTTTTTTTTTCTGGGTGGAGGGTTTGTGATTAATTTGGATTCCATTTGTTTTTTATGCTTCCTCACTCATTTAAAATTTTTTACAATGGGCAGTGATACTTTAGTAATTGGGAAAAAGCAAACCAAAAGACTATTCTCATTTATTTTATAAATACAATGCCTTATAGAATTGTTCTCTTCAAGCCAAAATTTATACTCTACTTTGTATCAAATATAATTTGAGAAAGAAGTAAAATCT